TTGTTCGACTATGGTATGAAAAGCTGATAATGTCAGTATCAAAAATAGTATACAGCAACAAAAAAAAAACTTTCACCAGTGGTGGCAGCTTCTATTGAAACAAATATTAACTAAAAATACATAATTTTCAATTATTTATTACTAATTTGTAATACTAAATATTCAATAAAAAAATAGCATTATTAGCATTCAACATTAGCTGTTTTCTTAAAAAAAATATTTTTTTCAAAAATGCTCACTTATGTAAGACTTATTAAAAATTTGAAAATATTGTAAGAAAGCCTAAATAATTAATGAGACAACATTTTAAAAAAGAGGAAACAAAAGTAAACAGAGTCTATAAACGTTGGATGCAGCTAAATATTTTAAAAACGGTTAAGAAAATTGTCTGAAATACTTTTTAAATTTCCACCCTTATTTCTTTTTGGAAAATTTTGGAAAAGAGCAGTTTCAGTGATTAATAAAATTAATAGAAAGAACTTGAAAGCCATTCTTCCAGTAATTATTATTACAATGATTATTTTTGTGCACCAATAAAATTCAACTCAACCCGAAATTCCTTTCAGACATGCTGGACTCTCAGGAGAAGACCCCGTTGTCCTCCGTCTCCTACCCGGCGATGTTCACCCCATCTCAACTCCTGATGGCAAGTCACCTCATGGCAGCGTCCCGTTTAAGCCTCCCTACAAACCCCGCTTTCTTTCACCCAGGCCTCCTACCCCTCGCTTGGCAAGCCAACTCACCCCCATCACCCCCAGCCACCAGCGACCTTCCGGCCCTCAAATCCCGCAAACTCAACAACAACAACGTCGTCAGTAGTACCAACCAAGAGATTCGCGGCCCAAAACGAAAAACTTGGAAAGTGGAAGAAGACAGTCCCTCCCCCACGTCGAGTGTTTCCCCCGAAGTGAAAGACTCGAGTCGAGACCGGCCTTTCACTTGCGAGGTGTGCAACAGATCGTTTGGATACAAACACGTTTTGCAAAACCACGAACGTACTCACACCGGGGAAAAACCCTTCGAGTGTCAGGAGTGCCACAAGAGGTTCACTCGCGACCACCATTTGAAGACTCACATGAGGCTCCATACGGGGGAGAGGCCCTACCATTGCGAGCACTGCGACCGCCAGTTCGTCCAAGTGGCGAATTTGCGACGGCATTTGAGGGTCCACACGGGGGAAAGGCCCTACAGTTGCGACCACTGCTCGGCCAAATTCTCCGATTCGAACCAACTCAAAGCCCATGTCCTCATCCACACCAACGAGAAGCCCTTTGAGTGCGACAAATGCCATGGACGCTTCCGGCGGAGGCACCACCTGGTGCACCACAAATGCGGCGCCGAGGAGGAGTCCGGGCTGCGCCCCCCGTCGATCCCTCTGGTGACGCTCCCCCTGCACGTGTCGTTGCCCGAGCAGACCGAACCCGAGGACCTCTCCATGACCACCGGCTTGCACTCGCACAGCAGCGGCGAGTCCCCCTTGTCGAGGTCCCCCAGCTCGCGGGAGGAGGACGACGAGGACCTCGACCCCCACGAATCCGCCGCGATTTTCCTCCACACCTAGTCGAAGGTATGAACAGTTTCAGGGATTTTTTGTTGTTTTGTACAGTTGATTGGTATGCAAGTTCCTCGCCAATAGTTTTTCCTGTTATTAGTACACGGCTGGCGGTCACATTTTGTAAATATTTCTCCAAATTCGAGATGATGCAAACCGGTGACTATTGTTAGTTGGAGTTTTGGTACCTGCGTTGCCAAAATTTGCATGGGATTCAAGGCCGATGCTCTATTTAGGCTATTGTAAAAATTTATTGCGGAGCAATTATTTCGGTTTCTGCATGGTCATGACAGGACGACGAGATGAGGGTCGAAAACTGTAATTTCTAATCGGTCGAGGCGTCTTAAGAAACATGTTTCGGGTTCCAAATTAACTTCCTTTTGACGATTTTTTTCAATATCCTGTTTTCATTCATGTGTTATTCGTCATTCGTCAAGACTTGTTTAGAAGCACGATTTTTACGAAATTCGATACCTTCGACCCTTTGGGGTGACAAACGCGAGATCTAACTTTATCGCTTTCACCATGGAAAATGGAAACGGAACAAACCGACGGTTTGGCCCTTCCGATTCACCAAACACAAGAATTTAAAATAAAGATGAAAAAATACGGAAACTGTTTTGAATGATTGTTATTAAAAAAATTAATTGCCAATAAATAATGTATTAGTAATTGGAATTAGAATAAAAAATACAGAAATTATTTTCAAATTAACGAAAATTCAAATGAGTAATGGAAAAAAGTATGTAAGAAACTCAGAATTTTTATTATAATTAGTATTAATTATAATGAACCAAAAAATTAAAAAATTAGTAATTCATTAGGTAATTGAAACTTAATTTAACGATTAAAAAATTCACAAAAATTTGTGGTTTAAAGTAAACCCCAACCAAAAAACAAAACAGTTAAGTCAAAACATTGAATAAAAAAAAATAGAAAAATGTCACAAAATCTTCACAATTTTTTTTACCAAAAATTAGTTTTAGCTGTCCTATTTTTTTTTTTAACTTGATAAAAAAATTTGAAATCCATTTAGTTGGCATGTAGCGAATTTTGAAATATCGGTTATCGGTTGACAAAAAAATGTAAATTAAAAAAAGAGTTATTTTTTCTAACTGCTGAATTAACTTATTATTTCCTTGGTGTTGGAATGTTCTCTAGCATAGTGGAGAATTTTTTTTTATACAAACCCTGTATACTACTAAAAATATTTCACATCTATTACTACAAACTATCAAAGATTTCAGATAAAATATGACAAAAAAACTAATAATGTAGTAGTGTGAAATTTCTTGGTCATACTTCTTTTCCTTCTTTTTTGTGTTTTTTTTTTTAAATATTTTTACTATCCAGTTTCATTTTAAACTTTTGTACCAAGATTTTTTTGAATTATACTCTTGTAGAGAATTTACATTTTTAAATATAAAAAACCAAATATTGTTTAAATGTAAATTTGTAAGTTCTGAAACCTAATCTCAAAATAAGCTAAAGCGCTCATACTATAAAATTTTGATTTACTTGGAAACAAAACCTTAAAATATTAATTAAAAAAAATTAACAGACAATCTACTTTCAACTAAGTTTAAAAATCCGAAAATAGCAAAAACTGGAAGGTTAAAAAAATAAAGTGTAAAATCAAATAACTAAAGTGAAGAGTTAAAAATAAAGAATTAGATTGTAGTTCTTTGCAATGAAATTGAGGCCCATTAAAGAAAGAATCCGGTACAATAACCTAGAGTTTTTTATTAAAAAGAAAACGAAAAGTAATGGAAAAAAGTACTTAAGAAACTCAGAATTTTTATTACAATTAGTATTAATTATAATTAACCAAAAAATAAACAATTAGTAATTCATTAGGTAATTGAAACTTAATATAACGATAAAAAATTCACAAAAATTTGTGGTTTAAAGTAAATCCCAACCAAAAAACAAAACAGTTAAGTCAAAACACTAAGTAACAAAAAATAGAAAAATGTCACAAAATCTTCACAAAATTTTTTGTAAAATTACCAAAAATTAGTTTTAGCTGTCCTATATTTTTTAACTTGATAAAAAAATTTGAAATCCATTTAGTTGGCATGTAGCGAATTTTGAAATATCGGTTATCGGTTGATAGAAAATGTAAATTAAAAAAAGAGTTATTTTTTCTAACTGCTGAATTAACTTATTATTTCCTTGGTGTTGGAAAGTTCTCGCTTTTTTATACACACCCTGTATACAACTAAAAATATTTCCTTCACTAATACCTAATCTTGTCTTTATTTTAATTTACTACGAGTACATAAGATGTTATTTATACAAAAAAAATCAGAATGCTACAATTTTCAATTTTTTTTATTTCAGGTTTTATTTAAATTTTTTTATCTTTCTCCATATATTTTTTGTTGTTTTAACTTTTTTTTCTTTTCTTTTAATGACTGGAAAAAAGTGAAGTGGAAAGTAGATAAAACTAAACTTTTTCACTTATGTTCTGTGTTTTGATACGGGTTTAAATAATCCACAGGTAGTCTGTTTCATTTCTATTGAAATTATTGTAAATATGTATTACAATAATTACAAAAAATAAAAATTGCAAAACTTTTTCAAATCTTGAAACTGTCCAATTTAATTCGAAGGCCTTTGTAATTTAACATTTCAAGTATCACTTTTTTAAAATATAATTTCTGCTTACTTTTCTAATAAAATCTATCCAAATATTTCAATTTTTTAAACATAAAGTGGACCTATGTATGTTTTTGTTTCTTAAAACAAGCAATAGTTTTATTAACATCTGCAAACTATAATTTACATTTTTTTTATCCAAAAATGTGTCTTGTAAAGAAAAAAACTTCTTGGCTAAAATCCAAAAAAATATAACTCGTACCAAAATGCGTTTTTAAATACTGATCAAAAAGTATGTAAAACAACCGGTGTTTATTATTTACAACCGTTTTAGAAAAAAATTAAGAATACTTTAATTTATTCAGTGTTAACACAAAGAAGCTAACAATTGTTTACTACAAAGTATGCCTTTTGATGGCTATTTGTAATTGCAAAGACTGGAGAAAAAAGTATTAAGAAAATTGGATTTTTTAGTCATTACTTCACAATTTTGAGATTCTTGAAATTATTTTATAAAAATTATGTAAACATTCTCAGTTTCGGCGAGAAGTATAATCAAAATAAAATTATTAAAAATTGAGTGACATTAAAATTGTGATGCGAATTATTGCCATGAAAAGAGTAAATCTAATCACAATTTCAATAAAGCGTTCAAGATGGAGAATGCTTCTCCACATTAACATATTGTAATTTTGAGTAAATGTTTGTCTCAAGAGTGCCTCCCCGTCTCGTGGGAACTCGTCTCGTCGTCCGAAATCGATATAAAGCCCCCATATCATGTCCGAAACCCGTTTATAAATATGCAAGGGTTGTCGTCCCTTTAGTAAAACGATACGGTTGCACCGTCCGGCCCTGTACTAAAAATTTTTCGTTACGATTTTTTTTATTGAAAAAAAAGTTCACGAAAAATGTGAATATTTTCTGTACATAGTCTAAACATATCGAATTGAATGTAAAACTGCGTGTGGTTGGTTTATTTATATTATTAATCGTAATAAAGGTGGCTGTATTTTCGTAATTGTTATGAAGATTTTTATTGTTAATAAAACCGATTCTCTTTAGACTTCTTGCAATATGTGAACCCGGTTTTGTATGTGTGTATATGATGTTTCACTTTGCTGTCGAGTGCCATTTTAGTTAGGTTTTTACAACAAATACGGGTCTGATAGGTTGATTTAAGTTAATTTTATGAACAAACAGGGTTACCGAACGGAAATTATTTTTTATATTTTTTTAGTTTGATAAATGTGAAAATGTCAATTCTTGTTGCTTATCAGTCGAATATCGTACCTCGAATTTTGTAAATAAAGTCATATCGACGTACAATATTCAACAACGGTGTCATTACTTTTGACCGCTTTGTACCGCACGTGGGACACTACTTTGCGCACGTACTGTACAAAGCTATAGGTGGTACAATTTTGTCTACCTCTTAGTACCTAAAATGAAACGAATCTATTTCCACATGTAACTAAACAAGACTGATTTTTATTAGATTCCTATATATAGATTTAAAGCAGATTATACAATTAAAAAATTTGTAAATACAATAGGCGAAAAAATTTTTGTCATATACAAAGTCTCGGCGACGGTGTCGTCGTCGCTTTGTATGCAACAACCTACCTCAAAAACCGAGTACAAATCTTATCAGGATGCGATCACGTGACGTTCGTTATTGTACTTTTTTCTCTAATTAAATGGTGTTGAATTATCCCCCACCCCGAACCAATATGTGATCACTCGATCGATGTAAATTGGTGTAATTACAAAGTGTAATTCCATGTCAATAACTATTTTATTATTAAAATGTTCGTTTATAAAAATATAATTGCGTTTTATTATTGATCCGCATTCACCACCCACCCTTGCACGATTTTTTTCCTGTGGGGAGATTCGAGCATTCTTAATACAAAGTAGAGGCGAAAAAAACCGTGGGGTAACCCTATCACTGCTCTGGGTAAGACAAGAGATCGATATAACTCTTCCGTGGGGTGAAGTCGCTGCGTCTGGGGTGAGATCTTCTATCCAGAGAGTTTCACCCCTCGATCAACCACTGAGTTCGACAAAATAGACGGCCGGGCTTAATCCCAAACCTACTAATTACAGCTCTTACTACCAACAAAACTTTAATAAATAAATAACTAAATACACTTGACTACAAAGAAAAGTCTCATTTTTTCACCCTCAAAAGATTAAATTAATTTCAAGTTGGAATTGAAGTTTGAATTAAAAAAATATTTCTCAAGTCACATCTATTACTAGAAACTGTCAAAAATATGACAAAAAAACTAATAGTGTAGTAGTGTGAAATTTCTTGGTCATGACATTACTTCTTTTTCTTCTTTTTTGTGTTTTTTTTTTGAAATATTTTTACGATCCAGTTTCATTTTAAACTTTTGTACCAAGATTTTTTTTAATTATACTCTTGTAGAGGATTTACATTTTTAAACATAAAAAACCAAATATTGTTTAAATGCTACAAG